AACTTGATATAAACCACAAGGATGGTGCATGATTGATTTGAGCTTGGCTCCAAAGGTCAAAAGTGTTGGAGGTATCAGGTTCAAATCTAAGGAGGAACAAAAATCTTCTTGTGGCCACGGAGGTTCAAATGCGGTGACTATGGGCTACCTGCAAAGTAGGTTGTCGTCCTGTGATTGGTCGGCTCGCATAGCAGGTTGAATATCCAAGTTCATAAAAAAAAAACTTGATATATAATTTATAAAAACTATTTCTTTTCTAAAAATCAGATTTATATATAACCAATCTCAGACTAGACCAGTCCTGAATTTTCATAAAATTGTAACCAATTCCGGTCCTAAGCTGATCCCAATTAACCATGCTTAATTATGGGTCAAAAAATTAATGTTGATGAAATAAATACTTCTATTTATGGAAACCATATTTTTGAAAAACTAATGTCCCAAAATAGAAAGTTTTGTTGGGATTTTTGGTTTTTTGTTTTGATACGATACCCCATTAAGTTTTGTATAACAAACACTATGGTGATGTAATATATACTTTAAAAATTATTATAAGCGTACTCGCGTAATGCAGCTAGATACATCCTGATTTTAATATTTCATTTTATTCTTTATCTCAGTCGATGTTATAATATGCCTTTATGTGATTTTGAGAAAGCGATGATATTTTTATTTTTGATTAAAATATATGYTTGAAGATATCATAAAAATTTGACAAAAATATATCGATATTAGTATCAAATTAACTATTTGAAATTCTTCATTTTTTTGTGTAATTTTTTAATTCAATTTTTTTATAACTTAATTTATGTACAATAACGAAGTAATTTATATTTAGTTTAATAATATAATTTTTTTATAAAGATAATAATTATTTATTTTGTTGGAACTCGATAATTATTCTAATTATATTTTAGATTTTTTATATTTTAAAATGAGATGTTCATCCTCTATTTGATTATGTTTATCCGCAGTTATTTATACGAATTCAAACATCGAGCTTTAATAAGTTGTACTTACGCACAATCTACTTGTAATCTTGAGTTTTAAGTAATATGCATTAATAAACAGTACTTTACGCATAAAAAGTGGTTTTAAAGAGTTTTTGTCAAATGATTTATAATATAGAATATATTTTTTTATATAATTTAATTTAAGTTAAATAATAAAATAATTTATTTTGGTTTAATATTATAAATTTTATAAAGATAATAATTAAGTATTCTGTTAGAATTTAATGATTATATTAATTATATTTTAGATTTTTTTTATATTTAAAATGAGATATTTATCCTGTATTTGATTGTGTTTATCTGCAGCTAGTTACACGAATTCGAATATGGAAATAAATCGGATAGGGATAAAATCGTTTAGGGATGAATGAGTTTAAGAGTTTTTAAGAGTTTTAGCCAAATGCTTTATAAGATAGTATATATATATATATATATATATATATATATTTATTTATTTATTAATAATCTATATTATCTTATAAACCAGATTTATCAAATGTCTTAAAAATAATTTTTAATGCACAAAGTACTATACATTTAAGCACAAAGTCTTAAAAACAACTTATAATGCATTAAGTACTACTACTTTATGCATTCGGTCTTAAAACATCTTAATCTACAATTAAAATAACATATAATGCAAGTTACCAATGTACATTATTATCTTTTCTTTTCATGTTACCAAGATACTTTTGACATCTTTCACTCATGTCTTCACCCTCTCATACCTCTATGTCTTCTCCCCATCCCCTAAGGCGAGATTCAAATTGATATTCACTATGAGTTATTAAAAGTTGTTTTATTCATCTCTCATTCAATTGCTTTAGAACTCTCGGTCTCGCTCTCGATCTCTTAATTATTTGCTCTTTGTGTAAATCGAACGTATTTGTGGAGTCGTAATATATTGAATTTTAAATTGTCTATACAATTTTTTCTATTGATAGACTGTAATTGGAACGGTAACTCTTATTTGTTCAAATTGTGTTAATATGTAAAGACCAATTGTAACTTATATCATCATTAAATCTTCTCTAATAAAATCAGTGAAACATCAAAATCATTAAAATTCACGACTATCACCACATTGTACGAGTACACAACTAATTTAAAAAAAAAAAAATTATGTTAATGGTTGGAGTTGGCTTAAATATATAAGCTACTCGTATTAGATGAATCATATATAATTCAAAAACCATATAATTTTAATTGTTTGAATGGTATGAAACTTATTCGATTAATCATATATCATTATTTATTATTTATTTAAGGATTAATCTTTCAATTATTTATATATGTGTTTATGATTTTTTTTTTATTAACTTGGATATTTAATCTGCTATGCGAGTCGACTAATTTCATGACGACCACCTGCTTTGCAGATAGCCCGGACTCACCGTATTTGAACTTTCGTGACCACAAGGGGATTTTTATTTCTCCTTGGATTTGAACCTTGGACCTCCAGGTAATTTTGACCTTTGGAGTCAAGCTCAAACCAATGAGACACCACCCTTGTGGTTATGTGTTTATGATTTAGTCATCACTTTTTACTAATCTACCCTTTGCATATTGCCAAAAAACATATGTCAAAACAAATTCAGCGACCTCCTTCTCGTCACTTTTACATACTTCGTCTCTTCTATGTTTTCTCACTCCTTTGTGTTGTCGTTCTCCGTAAAATTTTCATGATATGCAGCAACTAGGTTTGATTGGACAGTTCTTTGATGTAAAGATATGGCGTTTTTTATGACGACATTTTTTGTGTTAAAGATTTGGGCCTCTTCTTTGAACAAATTTGTTGTTTTTTCTTCGAACTCTGTTAGTATTAATTTTTATTTTTAGTAAGGATCCGTTTACCCATATGCTTACTCGGTAAGCGATTACCAATAGGAGTCAATACTATAATTTGTTTTGATGCGTAAGATTTTAGTATATCAAAAAATATCGAATACAACAATTTACTGGGTAAGCGCTTGTCTGGGTAAGAGTTGTCATACTCACTTACCGGGTAAGACTCTCCATCATTCTCATCGCTCTTACCCGATAAGATTCTTGGCATTTTTCATGTTCATCTAATGAGAAAATTTATGCGGTAATAAACGACCCATAAGTATTAATTTTTGTAAAAAGTAAAAATCTCTAAAAATAAATGATCAAACTCAACCTAAATAAATTAGTTTTTTTTCTACAAATAAAACTTAATATTAATGATAGTTATGTGAAAATCGTTGAATAATAGGATCAACATTTATTTATTTATTAGGAAAAAATTAACTGATTTTCAAACTATAAGATTTCATTTATTTGATGTTTTAAAAACGTCTGGACTAAAAGTGTAGATACATCAAATGCTTATTGGAGTATGTTGTTTTATTTCCGGTAATTGTCTGTGGGTGTTTTTGTCGAGCACCTCAATTATTATAATTGACCTTGAAATCAACAGTTAAGCAAACACTGTAATTACTTTGATAAAACTTAAATTAGTAACTTTTATTGTGTGAGAAAGAGAGTTAAAATAAGAAGCTTAAGAAATGATCTAGACCATTGATCACTTTTAATCTCAAACGCACCCATAAATAAGTATTAGAATAAGACCCAGCCCATTGGGGAATCCGGTCTACCCGCCCCGATAGGGACAGAGATTCCCCGCAAAACCGGGGACAGGGATGGGGACGGTGATACTCGAAAATTAGAGACCGGGTATGGGGACTGGTCCAATTAACGTGGTCCACGTCCCCAAATATTAAATATATTATTTGTAAATGTATTACATTTAATATCTTTTACATTTAAAAATAATATTTTGACAATATTTGCTTATATACAATTTTTGAGTTGTCATACTTTTTTTAGATAAAAAAGGTTGAAAGCCGAAAATGTTTGATTAATCAATTACGTACGATGTTATAACCTTGTTCACATATGGATATTTGATACTCTATAAAAACAGTTTTTAAAAATATGTGAGATTTAAACATGAACCATTATATTTTGGAAAAATTGCACCAAAATGAAACTAACTTTCATCTGATTCTTATTTTGGGGAACCAACTTTCAAAATCGTCATTTTAGGGTCTTTATCAAACTTTTTGTTTATTTAAGAGTCTGGTTGACCCGTTGACCTGTTAATGTTGATACCATCCAGATTTCTTACCAACTAAGATATCCCACATCATATTCATTTTCTGTTTTAAAACTAATATTTTACGTCATATTTAAAATTGCAAAATAATTACAAAAAAATAACTAAAATTTATTTTTTTTCCAAAAATTAATGCAATAAAATCTATTTTTCATTTCAAATTTCGTTTTTTTTATAAATTCAGATATCAAATTGAAGATTTTTTTAAAAAAAAATCCAAATTACCACAATAAAAATTATTTTTTACTAATGCAATAAAAAATCAATTTAATAGAAAAAAAATAATGATACAATAAAAAAAAATATTAAATATCGCATTCAAGATTTTTATATCCAACCAATCCGTATCAATATTAAAGTTTAAATCAAATTTGACAAATCAAACCAAAAGTTTGATAGAGACTCTTAAATTATATGTTCAACAGATCAACCAGATCCTTAAATAAACAAAAAATGTTTGATAAAAACCCCTAAATAACGATTTTGAAAATTAATTTTTCAAAATAAAAATTAGATGAAAATTAGTTCCATTTCAATACCATTTTTTTTACATTTTTGATACTCATGTTTTCCCTTTAACCCAGTCTGTAACGTTTAAAAGTGAATCTGATGACTTTCCAATTTTAAAAAGGTGACTAGGAATATTAATTAAAATAAATATTCGAAATACACACAGAGAAGACAAAAACGTTATCAGAATTTGGAGCATCTACAGGTATGCCATGAGCTAACCACGCGCCTCCTCCATCAGCTCAATCTCGTTCCTCCACGTGTCATTCAATCCTGCGGTTATACATTCACGCTGCTTGGATTATATATCGCCTCCCCTCTTCTTCTTCCTTATCATCATCATCACAATTCACCATCATACACACTCACAGTCAAAACCCTTCGCCGTTTCCCTTGTTTTTCCCTTTCAATTTTAACTAAAATCATGCTTCTCAGAGCTTCTCCGACCATCTTCTTGCCGAACGGCGCCACCGCAGGTGCCGGCGAGAATTTCAGCGGTTCTATGCTTTCTATGCTCTCCTCTTCCTCTGTTTCCTCTCCGTCGGCTATCGTTTGTTCGGCGGCTAAAGGTGGTGCTTCAAACAATAGACCACTTACAGGCGTTGTGTTTGAGCCGTTTGAGGAGGTGAAAAAGGAGCTCAATCTCGTCCCTACTGTCCCTCAACAGTCTCTTGCTCGTCAAAAGTACGCCGATGACTCCGAATCCGTGATTAACGAACAGATCAAGTGAGTTTGTACTTTCAACTTTTCCATTTCATATTTCAATTTGTTCCGACGGTTTGCTGATTTTGTATTCTGATTTCGTTTGCTAAAAGTTTGTGATCACATTAAATGATAATTCCTTGATTTTAGGGTATAATAGATGCTCTCTGTTTGCTCCGCTAGAGCTTATTTATTTGTTCTTGAAACTTAAACATGAAGCCAAACCGCACGGTAGGTGTTTGATAAAAGTACTAAGAGAGCATAAGGTCTAGTTGTATGCATATTTTATTAGGTTTTTGTGAATACATCTTCACGGGGTTTTTATTTTACTAGATCTGGGTGACTGTGTACATGGTATTTCAGTACATTATCTTAATTGTAATTGTCGTTTTTTTGTCGTTTTGATTGGGATTGAACATTTCTTTAATCCATTTTTAATTACATTTCTCCTTGAGTGAAAAGACTTTCCTTATGGTGAGTTTCTCCTTGCTTCTGAAGATAAGTTTCTTTTTTTGTGTTCCTTTTCAGTGTTGAGTACAATGTTTCCTATGTGTATCATGCGATGTATGCCTACTTTGATAGGGACAACGTTGCTCTCAAGGGATTAGCCAAGTAAGTTACTACCATCATTGTCATTTCTAGTAATAGTTGGTGAAAAAAACGTTTAATCTTATCTCTCATTCATGAATCCTTGTAGGTTTTTTAAGGAGTCCAGTGAAGAAGAAAGGGAACATGCTGAAAAGTTCATGGAGTACCAGGTGTTTGATAATTTTCCTAGTAGCCTTTGTAGTTTTTTATGGTTGTTTCGTTTCTAAAGTTTCTTGTTTCTCAGAACAAACGTGGTGGGAAGGTGAAGTTGCAGTCTATTATAATGCCGTTGTCCGAGTTTGATCATGCAGAGAAAGGAGATGCACTTTATGGTAAGTTCTCTATCATCCCTTCTTTGTTACTACACTAATGATTGGCTGATTGCCCACGATTCGGAAGCTATCATAGGTGTGCAAATGTTGTTTCTGTGTAAGTTCCTATTGGGTGAAAGAGTAATTTGTTGGTCTTCTCAGTTAGGGTTTATGGTTATCTCTTCGTTAATTATTGGGTAATGATCATTGCTAGTTCTTGAGCTTATAACATTTAAGTTAGATCTTGTAAATTGCTTGATGTCTGCTCATGACTTTCTTTTGGGTAACTTGGGTTTTGACTATAAGTAATACCATGGGGCCCTGAAGATGCCATGAAAATCTTTAGTGGCCCTAGGGGGACTCGAACTAGTGGCCTATGGAAAGGATCCCCATGACCTAGCCCTTATTTGTCGGTTGAGCCTGCTTATCAGTTAGGTTTGACTCAGGGTTTCTTTTGTGATTGTAGCCATGGAGCTTGCATTGTCACTGGAGAAATTAACAAATGAGAAACTTCTACATGTTCATGCGGTATGCCAATCCTTTTTAGATCAATTAGTAATGACTACTAATAAGCTCAAAGACAAGTGAGATTTGAGTTTCTGAACTGTGATATGTGGGTGAAATCAGGTAGCCAGCAAGAACAACGACGTGCAATTAGCTGATTTTGTTGAAAGCGAGTTCTTGGGTGAACAGGTAGAATTACAGATTTCACTTCACAAATTCTTATATGTGGTTATCTTTTTTCTTTCTTGCCACTGAACGGAAGTTTGATATTACTTTCTCTATGATAAAAGGTCGAGGCAATCAAGAAGATATCTGAATACGTTGCTCAGTTAAGAAGAATCGGCAAAGGACATGGTAAACAGATTCTAAAACTTATCAGTTAAAATCTCAATTCTCTCTTGTTATGGTGGCTAAAAGTTATAGTTTTGTTGAAAATATCAGGAGTTTGGCATTTTAATCAGATGCTTCTCAACGAAGGTGCTGCTGTTTAACCAAATGAAGAAGGCTGGGTACATTTTGGTTAGTGGTAAACCAGAAAGTGCAAAGATGGAGACTAGTTATATAGGTTCTCTATTCCACTATTATGCTTTGTTACAAATGTTTTTCGAGAGTCTGACCTTCAGTAGTTTAGTCTCTGGTTGATATTTTGAATAATTAGAACCATGGAAAATGGGTTTTTTTTGTCTGAATTTCATATTTCTTACACTTATTGATAACCAACATCCTTTTCTTGGCTGAACACAAGTTTTGAGAGGGGACCAAACACAAATAGTGGTTAGAAAATAGAAGGTAAATATGACAAAGACAACTCCTAATTCCAAACCAAATTTTTTGTCTGTTTGTTATCAGTAATTGTCAATCAGAATCTTCTTCTATCTTGAGCCACCCATTCATGCCAATGGTTCTTGTCTTCTTAGATGCTCGGACCCCATCTCGCCCATGGTCTTACCAAATAAGTTAGAATTAAACAAATTTAAATTTTTGTACAAGACTAGAAGTGGAATTGATGGAGAGATTTGGTGAAAAGTGCCGTAGAAATGCGATAGAAACAATTGAAATCAATGAGATCTGGATTTGAAGTGATAACCATCTTCCCAGATTTCTAAAATTATCGGTTGTGGAATTTAATGTCCAAACTTTCTTCACACCAAATATGGATTTAGGGGTCGTTTACGAAACGTTTACTCGGGTAAGTGAAAACCAAGTTACATTACCTTACGGGATGAATATGTAAGGACCAAAAATCTTATCCGGTAAGAGCGAGACAAGGACCAAGAGTCTTACCCGGTAAGTGATGGCGATGGCTTTTACCATGGTAAGCGTTTACTGGGTAAATTATTGCATACGATACTGCTTTTGTGGACTAAAATCTTACCCGAAAAGTAAATGATAGTATTAAATTTTACCAGTAAACGCTTACCAAGTAAGTGTTTGGTAAACGGCCCCTTATACTGGAATTCAATTCCAAACTTTCCTTCAAACCATATACAATATTGAAATGAAATTCAATTCCAAATTCCTTCAAGTCTTGTCGATTCTTGCAAACCATATATGCCTTTAGAAGGTGTTTGGTTTGAAGGATTTCATTGAAATACCATGGGTGGTTGTGGTTGGTATTTCATGAGATTTCGTAATATTTATGTGTAATAATGTTTAAAAACATTTATTTTGTAATGATGAATTAATAAAAAGTTATTATTTAATTATTTTAGAATTATTTATATTTGTTTTTATCAGTTACTTATAAATAATTAAATCCAATTACATTACATTACAATTACAAATTCTATAAACCAAAACAAATCAAATATTTCAAATCCAAAGTCATTCAATTCAAATCCTTTCACAAAATCCAAATCTCATAAAATCATTCCATTAAACCAAACATACCGTACAATGTACAATCCTACAAACACTGGTCATAGCATACAGACAAGTCCAACAATCATTTGTAATAATCAAATGCTAAATATTGTTTAATGAAGTTAGAGATTGTTTGTTTACCTCTTAATAGTTTCATTAAAAGGCAGTCTCTGAATCGTTAATAGGTGAATTTTATTTGGCAAAAAAAAAGTCTAACTCTTAATGGTTCTAAAATCTTCTGAATGATTTTGCATCTTGGGTCTTCCTTAACCACTCAGCACCATAATTTCATTGTAAACAATTATCCAACAATTATATTTCATTTTACACTAAATCGTGAGAGTCTCTTAATCATTTTGTACCAAACCATTCATAAACCACCAAACAGCCTCTTATTTGAGTAATTATCCAGTTTATCACGCCATGACCTTTGAACATCTCCGACAACTATACTATAATATAAATTTTGGTGATTAATAAAGTTCTATGTTTCAACAGCTCTGTTATTTTATAGTAAAATTAAAAAGGAACATGAAAACTTCTAAATTTAGAAAAATCTCTAAAACTCAGAGAAATAACATTTTAATTATTTTATCTGCTCTGGGTTCAATTTCAAATGTCGACAACAACACTAAGTTTATCAAGGTTACGATCGTAATTTGCATGAGGTTATTATTTGGTAGGAAAGTAAGTGAGTGGTATGAAATTGATTATATGAAAGTTAACCGAAAATGCTCCAATAACTTTATGTACAGTGACATGTGGGGGACATGTGATGTGGATATAGCTTTTGAATTTAGTCAATATTGGAATCACTTTTCTTTCATTGAACCCATTTATATTTGACATGCTATTTAGTTTCGTTTACTAAATATTTATCAGTAAGTGTTTATTGGATCTATTAAACTTGTTGTATGAATATGACAATGACCAAAAATCTTATCACCGAGTCTTACCTAATGACGACTCTTACCCGGTTAGCACTTACCAGATATATATTTTGTATATGATGTCGTTTTCACGGATTAGAATCGTACCTGGTAAAGTAAGTGAGAGTGTCGACTTTTACTAATAAACGCTCACCGGATAAGCGTTTGGGCAAACAATCTCTTATCCTACCGTCATAGGGATCTTTTGTGCTATTTAATTTAATTTTTTTTATGTTGGTTGTTGACAAGTGAGAATGGTTGATTCACTTAGTGCTGTTTGGTTAGAGATATTAAACAGTAATCAATGAGAATAAAATTAAAAGAAACTATTTGATTTTATATAATATAATGGACTCATTCTCACACAAAACTCAAAATTTTAATTCCAAGTTAAATTGGAGGGAATGAAAATTCATTTCCTTTTTTATTCCCTGTTATTTTCATTCTCAATCGTATGCGTTTAATATCCCTCCTTCACTTTAATAACATGGAGATGGTTGGTTATGTTGGTTCCATTTTTTGTGAAATTGAACAGGTATTCAATTTCATCGTTAAAAAATTGAATACTTCTAACATAATATAAAATAAAACTTATAATATTATTATTTTCTTTATTTTAACTTTTAATTATTATATTTTAATTTTACATATTCAATTTTATATGATAAAAATAAATAATACTTAATTTTCACAATTTTATACAGTTTTATATTTGTTTAATATTTAGTTTTCACTGTAACATAATACATTTAATCATGTTGTTTTGGTATGTCTTGAATTTCAAAGTCATCAAATTTTTCCAAAAACTCCAATAAGGTACACGATTGCAAAATATTAAAAGAATCGTCCAATTTTATAACAGATGTCTGACAAAACGATCTAAAATACCTTTAATTAATATTTAATTATCAGTTAAAACACGAGAATGTAAATTTTAGTTGCCAAAACATTAAAAATGAACTTTGAACTTAGAAAAACCAATGAGGGCAGTGTACGACATTGTTCGGAATCAAGGGCTTGTCGTTAGAAATGAGATCTGAAATCGAGTTGAGTACCAGTTTGTTTGATTTCAGAATTGCGAAAATAATATTAGGCTCGAATTCTAATATTTTTTGCAAAATAACACTCGAGCAAGATGTTCTTTAACATGTTTGAGTTTATATATATATATATATATATATATATATATATATAGGGGCAGGTTCAAATGCGAACCATCCAATTCTTACAAACCGTGTGAACCAAGTTCGACCAATAAGATAATTCCATTTATTTTTTAATAAATTTAATTGATAAGGTTATTTATGTCATTTTACAAAAAAGTTTGATAATTAAGGAAGTTAGTAATATATTTTATTTAAGGCAAATTTATTAGGAGAAAGTATGAAACATGGTAATGTTTTAAGCTTTTATTGTAATATATTATTAAAATATTTAATTTTAAGAAATTGCAATGGAATGAAGATTCTGGTATCTTGTACAATTAAAAATATGAAGGTGTATGYAATAGATTCATGATAGTTCATRTATCGCAGTAACAGTGCTTGTGAATTTTTTTTTAATGGAGAAGGTGAAAAGATTTCGTTGGATAATAATTAATGAAATCGATTCATGGTAGTGAAACATTTTCATTT